TTGGAGCTTTTACAAAGACCCAGAGCAGTTGCAAATTTCGATCTCAAAAAAGACCCTTGAATTGTCTTATATTTCCATAACTTTATCAAGATTCAAATATATACATATATATTACCGTTGATCCCTTACAATTCAAGACCGAGCCACACCACACACATATACTTCAATTTTCAACATTCTATGTGTTTCTACTAACTAACCTGAATCTTGATCAGCACATCAAGTCAAGTCAGCTTCCATAAAGCAGTATTGCCATCCTCAGCCATGATTCCTTTCTTCTCAGCTTGTGGAACAAGTGCCACCAATTTCATAGTATCGATCTTCTGATTCTTAAACGACAAGCTTAGAAATCTGATTATTAAACAACCATACATAAGGTAACTTTTTTATAAGACAAACAAAGTTACAGTAATATAGATCAAAACACCATAAATAAGATGAATTTTTCAAAAATAAAAAGAAGTTACAGCAGTATAAAATTTAGTAGTATTTTTAACAGAAAAAACACAACATTTCTCACATAACAGAAAAACCGCAACATTTTTAGTTGTATTTTCTCACGTATAGACAACTACTATCCTCATCTTTTATAAGGCGCGTCCACATGGATTTTCACAACAATTCATCAATACAGAAACTGCCTTGACTAGCCGATCATTTACGCTTTAGCACCATATGCAATAATCTGCCAATATTTCTTCAGAACTACCAAATTACAAGATTTGAAGTATAATAGTATCATTTAATTATTGCGTCAGTTTTCTTTGTAATATATCCGAACTTTTATCAAGAGACTTCATAAATGGTATGAAGTCAAACAAGAGAACTTCGAAAATTGAAATGAGACAAAAAAAAAAGGAAATAAGAAAGAAAGAAATAAAAGAAACAACGAAAACAGGTCAGATTACCTTAGTTTGCTCAGATTTACTGTACTGTAGCCAGCCCCATTGGAGCAGCATCGTATGCATCAGCAAAATCGAGCAGTGCCAACAAACACACAAAGTCTCAGAAAGGTTTGAAACAAATATTTATAAGGGGAAAACAGGTGATTCTCCTGTGCTCTGTAATTAAGCTAAAGCATGAGAATAACTTTTCCTTCTTTTCTTTTTTTTTTTCTTTTCAATTTACGCTAATGGTTACAAGACACTGCACATGGCCAGCACGCCAAATCAAACCATAACAATCACACTCCCAATGAAGAAAGTTAAACTGAAAATTAATAAAAGAGTCGCAAATTCAAGTCTCACTACAGAAGGGTAATGTGCAACACAGAGCAGTACACCACAAGGTTAATCAAATTAGCAACGGCTGCCACAAACTCCAAAGTACCAGAGTCTCAAATGATAGAGTAAATCGAGTCGGCAATTTATAGTTGTCAACACTATTCTAAGCACCAAAAGTAATCTTGTTCAAAAATTTATCAATACTCAGATGATGAGATGCCATCATCAATCTCAAGACTCATCTTGACGATTTGTGTGGTCAGCAGAATCTGCTGTTGATAAACAAAAGGAATAGAATTCAGCAAAATGAAAATAAAGGTATGTGAATCATATGTGGAAAAGTAAGGAGATTTGTACCTTGCCTAATTTCTTAGGTGTCAACCTGGAATCTTGGCACAATTCTCCCACCTATTATCATAGTACAGATAGAAAGGTATCAAGGTTCAACAACAAAAGGAGAAACAAATAAAATGGAAATAAATGTAATAAAAGATCCAGGATGTAATTTAGAAACTAGAAATGACAGGCTTGCAAGAACCTGCCATTGCATATTTTGTACAATGATCAAGCATTTAGGCAACTATTACCCTCGTCTTTTATAAATGTTAAGAGAAAAAAAAAGATATCAACTTCCAAACCCCAAAAATAGACACACCCACATGGAAATTTCTGAAACGTAATTCAATTTTTTAATAACACAGACATAGTTCTGTTCACTATTTATTTAGTTATCTAATTTACAACATGAGCCTTCACAAAGGATATGTAGTGAAACAAAGACGATTCAATCCGCCAACTTAAGAAAATTGATTAAGAATCCAAGAAACAGAGAAAAAGAGGTTAATATTTAGCTTTTCAAACAGCTTTACTCCTATTAAAGCATTCTTCTCCAGTCGGTCTTCCACATACATAACCTACTAAACAGTTCACTCCAATTATAGCATGATGATAAACTTCACTGACCTCGACAAAGGAACAGTTTACCGAATCATTACTTTAGCTCCTAAAATTTAATTAAGAGAGAGAGAAGATTTCACGAACCTTGCACTCCTCATTCAAAGGGTCAGTCTGGCAGAAATCGTCCATATCTCCTCTCATCTGCCCGGAAGACCCAGCCACTTGTTTCCCGCAGGATGTACTAAATCAATATCCCTTTGGCTGCAGAACAGAAAATAAATGAAAAGAATATACTTCAAACTTAACTAAATCCTTGATACTCACAAATCATAGTTTAGTGCTTCAATTTTTATTTTATTTTTTTCCTACAAACTTTAATTTCCTTTGTTAAAGAAAAAAAGGTAGGTATCTATACCCGTAACCCCATCACTGTCATAACTGGCCAGGTCCCACCTTGACAATGTCGTCTCCCAACACCATCAAGAGCGAGGAGTAGACTGAGACGAACAGGACATTGCACATAGCCTGCACACCAAGTCAGCGGGCCCTCGGCCGCCTTCCAGAAAGAAGAACTGATATCCTCAGCCGGGGTTCCTTCGTTCTCAGCTTGTTTCAGAACTGCACCAACCATAACAACTCAACTTGCTCCAGCACCAATTTCATAGCGTCAACTTTATGATTCTTTAACCACGAGCTTAGCAATCTGTTTTATACGTCCATTTGCTCAAGGATTCTTGTACCAACATTCGCAAAAAAAAAAAAAAAAAAAAAAAAAAAAAAAAAAAAAACACACCTAAATGATGTAAGATATAATCCATGCAGTTTCCTTGTTACTGCACTGCAACTTCCTTGCAGCTGCAGAGCACTTTCATGGCAGCCATTTTAGGCTGATTTTTCATGACTTTTCAACTTAAGTAATTTCTAGGAAAGCCACTAGGGTAGTTGCTTTTAGTTCTTATAAATAGGGATTCAGTTTTTATTTGTAAACATAGAGAAAAACTGAATACTCAATACATTGAGTTGTTCAAAATCTTCTTCTTTCATCCTAGAAGTGTTCGTTTGTGTCGGAAGCATTTTTGTTTACCTGAACAGTGAACGAGCAGGGACTAACAAATAAAATAAGTTCCAGTAATATTTATTATAATATTACTTTTACCAGAAAAACACAGCATTTCTTATATAACCAAAGGTCACAAATATGAAACATTTAGACAGCTACTATCCTTGTCTTTTATAAGGCATATCCATTTTTCTCAACAATTCATCAAAACAGAAGTTGCCTTCACTAGCACCAGTTTACACTTTGGCACCATATGAAGAAATTACCAATACCCTTTCTTCATATCCTTCAGCCCACAGAAAAGTAGTACAAGGCAGTTACACATTGCATTTTAGCCTCAATAATCATAAACCAACATCAGAACTAGTCATATTTAATGTTTGAACTGTAATTGGATCTGCTAATAATTGAGAAAGCTTCTCTGCAATATATCTTCAACTTTTATAAAGAGGCTTCACAAAAGGTATGTAATCAAGCAAGAAAACTTGGCCTAATATCTCAGGTTTCAACTCCTGGAATCTTGGCACAATCTATTATAAAAGTCCAGATAAAAAGTTAATAAGGTTCAACAACCGAAAAGAGATATCAAGCATTTAGGCAACTGCTATCCTTCTCTTTGATTAGGTATATCCATTTTTCTCAACAGTTCCAAAAGAAAGAATTGACTAGCTTGTCGTTTACGCAATAGCACCATATACAAGAAATTACACGCTGCATTTTAGCATCAATATAATCGTAAACAAACATCAGAACTAGCCAAATCTGAATATTTGAAGAGTTAATGGATTTCCAATGGACATTATATTCTTTGCAATGCGTTTGAACAATTATCAAGAGCCTTCACAAAAGGTCTTCAAAAATTTAAACAGAAGACAAAAGGAAAATAAGAAAGAAACGCCAAAGAAACAACTCAAACAGGCAAGGTCACCTTAATTTGCTTAGAAGTAAGTGCTAACACAAATTTCTACAGGGTCGAGCTCAATGTTCACCAGCCAGCACTATTGGAGCAGCATCTTATACATCTGCCAAATCGCGTATTGCCAACAAAAACAAACAACCTCAGCTCTAGAAGATTTGAAACGAATAAGTATAAGGGAAAACATGTACGTATCACCAGTGGGTTCCACAGAAATTGAGAAAGAAATCTCAACTGACTCACTACCATACACAATGGAGTTGAGGGGATAAGAATCCGCAACACAATGGAGTTGAGGGAATAAGAATCCGAGCAACAGATTGGGCATCAGGAAGGCCGTGATGCGTTTCCTCTTTCATCATCCGGCGGGAAAAAAGGAAAGAAAATATAATAATGAAATGCATAATATGAGCACGGCATCATAAGCCAAAACATTAAGATATACACAGGCAGACTCCCTTGCACTTCTGAACATTGGTATCAAAGCACTTCTAGACTTCTAGTCCCCAAGAATTTCTGATACTACTAGACTATGGATCAAGTTAGTTCGTTCTTTTACAAAGAGCAATGAGCGGATATCGAGTGCAAACACATAACAGAGTACAAAAACTGTGAAAATCTCAAATGAAGCTCTACACAGTGCCAAAAAGGAAAAATAACATTGTACATGAAAAAAACGAAAAGACGGATCATAGGTGTCCCTAAAATCAATCATAGGTTGCAACATTTTAATATCAAAAGCATCGAAACTAACAAACACGTCAACAATAAATTGATTTTTTCGAAAAAAAAAACAATGATAGCATAATTTCAATAAAAAACACCCATAAATTATCGAACGAACATATAACTTAATGACTAAACTCGGTCCATTTCACAAGAACATGGAAATTATAGCAATCACCCTCCAAGATTGCCTCATCATCACGAGCTCGAATCCGAAACTCCCTAGAGCACAACACTTGATGAGGAACACCATCATTTCCATCGCTAATAAAATTTGCTTCAACAACGAGCGAGGACTTCACTGGAACAGCGACCCTACACCTCGAGAGCGCTACCAAACCCCTAGGCCCCACCTCCACTGGATCCTCTCGACTCCTCTCAAAGAGACCAATCTGATAGTATTCCTTGTTATATCGGGTCCTATAGTCATAATTATTGTATCGAGCCACGAGAGTCCCATAAATCCTGGGGCAAACAACGGCAGCATTCCCGTTCCCCGTCTTGGGCATGCAGAGAACCTCCACATCAGCTTGGACGGCTTCTTCAAACAGTGTATAATAAATAGCAGCAAACCCGTTCGTGCCTTGAACGAAAGAACAGAGCTGCCTGTCAAACCATCTCCTCCCGTAATCAGGTTCTCTCCACACCCAATGTTTCGCACCTCTCAAATCCCAATTAACGTAGCCTTTGATGTGCAGGCTGCTCTCGGTATCCTTGAGGTCGAATTTCACTTTCACAGAGGCACACTCATCATAAGCCTGGCAGCCGTCGAGTACAGGTATGGTTTTCACATGCTCATCCAATTTAAAGGCATCCTCCTTTGCTTCTCTGCTAAAAAGCTGAGATTTCCCAATGTGGGATGATAGTATAACAGAACCATAGATTTGCAGAGGTCTGAACTTTGCTCGGCCTATGAACACTGAGAAAATCTGCACAGCGGAACATGAAAATGGCCTATCCTCTTGCGGCTGCAATTTCCTTTATAATTAAGGGAATCAACATAACAAATTACATTACACCTGAGTTGCACAAAACTAAATATAGCAAATGTATCTGGGGAATTTCCAGTAGAAATTTTTGAATTTTTGAATAGAAAGCATACCAGGACGCACTCCTGAGGTGGCTTGGAGATGCTTCACGATGGGACACCTACATACAGAGGAATCAATATCAGATCCATCCATAGATATCAAAACAGAGTCCATCCAAAAGATAATCGAAAATAATAAATGTGCCGAATAAAATAATATACCTCATCCATTTCCTCATCGCCACTCTCCTCTTTGTCACTTTCTAGGTGAGCCATTTCAGCAACGAAGGACTTCAAAGAAAAGAGGGGAGGGGGTGGGATAATCATCAATCAATAAGTGATCCACGCATAAATGAGAATTGTAGTTTGTGAGAGAACAGTATACCTCATTCATTTGGTCGTCATCATCATCATTGCCGCCATCATCTTCGTCATCATCATCATCCAACTTGAAAAATGGAAAGAGAAAAAGGAGGGGTGATTCAAATAGCCAGAGTGCTTGACAATTAGTGATAGTAGATAAATTAAACAATGAACTCAAGAGAAAAAATGTTTTTCATGATATAAAAGAACCTCATCATCACTATTATCTTCTTCCTCCCTTTTACTTCTTGCTTGTGGCCTAGGTGATTTCCAGCCCACAGTAATTTTGATAGCTGTTTCGTCATTTACGACAAACACCATGGACCCTCCACTATCATAATTAACTCGAAATTCTGCTGTTTCTGTAAGGATCTTTCTCTGAGTTCCGAATTCCGACAAGTCGAGATCAATGCCTAGAGATGCGTACGCAGGCAAGGCCACCCAACATCGAGACAGTGTGATCATGCCATTCCTGATCACCGGATCAATCTCAACTCTTTCAAATTCCCCACCTTGCTTATCAAAAAGCGTACAGGCGCCCCATGTTGAGCTTGTGCCATCTGTGTTGCTATAACGAGCAACAATTTTTCCTTGGACATCAATAGTCTGACGATATGCTTTTTCTCCCTTCTTATGAACCTCAACTCTAAGATACCCGTAGATTGCCAGCGGCATAGGAGCATAGCACACCTCATAAGCAATGGAGGAACCAAGCCTGCCACGAATATAATGCTCCAACTCACTCGTGTCATTAGAAAAGCATGAATCCCGGTTAAATAACTTCTTACCCCCTGCGAAAACATTGAGCACAAGGCTCGTATCGAACAATGACATGGAAATGTTATGTGGCCAGTCAAACGCTCCTCTCGGGCTCATCGGGCTCGTCAGCGCCAAGGTGCCGCCATATGGTCCAATAATCTGAGCATCGTGGGCTGGCCGATCATATAGGTTATGGATAATCTTTTCTCCATTTGCAGCATCACGGAATTCTATATAGATTCGCCCATGGACAGCGAATGGCTGATGATCGACCGGTAAGAGGTGCACATAGAGAACTTGGACCAAGGGTCCTGCTAAATAAGACTCGCTGCCTTTTCTCTTCTCTTTCTCTCTATCCTCATGAAGGCGGCGTACGAAGCGTGCAACTACCACTTCAAGCTCGTCGTTGTCGCTGTCGCTGCTGTTGTCCTCAAAAAATAAATAACATGCATATAACTTTTCCATTTCTTGCCGAGATACATTATAATACAATTGTATCAACTTTTCTAGATCCATGTGGAAAGTCCTGCAGAAGATGTAAGTGACAATAATATAGTTCGAGAAATAAAGGGTCTTTCCCCAAACATTATACAAAGGAAATCCGAAATTAATGGAACCGTGCAGCAGAGGCACTCAGGCACCACACAGTAGGCGTATAAACGAGCTGTGCTCGAACTTGACACTTAAGGAGCCGATCTCGAAAACATGATACAAAAAATCATATTGTCGAGCCTTACCGAGTCGAGCTCGGCTCGTTTATCAAACAAACCGAACCAAGCTCAAGCCATAACGAGCTGGACTCAGACTCACAAGCGGCTCTTTTCGTTGAACAGCTCTAAAAACAGCTAATGAAAAGCAAATAAATCACAAAGTTCACAGAATTCACTCAACTAAACTCACTATTTTACTAATTTCACAAAAACTCAAAAACCCACGTGCCACGACATTCAAAATCACAAATTAAAGCCGTTATACGGTCACAGGTCAGTGGGCACAACCAACTAAATAACCAAAAAACAAAATTTAGCTTTAGCTAAAACCTGGAATCGTGTTATGGCGACCGCCGGAATGAGATAGCTCGGGGAATGGCGACCGCCGGAATGAGATAGCTCGGGGATTGTCGACTCCGACGATGGCTTTGTGACTTGTGAGTCGAGAAGGCAAGCTATCGTAAGGTTTCCAGCTGATAGAGGTGTAAACAAAATCGTGTTGTAGTTTGCACCTTTTCATTCTTCTAGTCCGTCTTAGGTTAGGCAATTGTTTTTATTTTTTATTTTTTTGACAAAAAAATTACTATCTTTACTCTTAAGGATTGCAAGAGACTGCCTCTTTTCTTTTGAAACGATGTCGTTTTTTCAATTTGTGGTAATTTCACTTCCGTTCGACACGTGGCGTAAGGATTGCAAGAGGCTGCCTCTTTTCTTTCGAAACGACGTCGTTTTTCAATTGGTCTTACACAACGTAGTTTCCTCTTTTCTTAGGTTATTTTCTGAATTTTTTGGGGCGATGGCGATTTTTTGGGGTACTGTCGTCTTCTTCGGTCGGTCATTCTTAGTCCATTTTTTTTCCGTCTAGACTGTGAAAGTTTTGCAACGGGGTTCATTTTCCTTTCGTTCGAAGAAGGGTTTGTTTGTTCGTGTTTTGGGCTTTCGTTGCATCGATTCAGGGTAATAATTTGAATTTTATCTGTGTGATCGTCTTCATTTATTGTTTTACATTTATGTCAATTAAATTTGGTGTATTTTGCATCGTTTTATTGGGAAATTAACAGACAAGGTTTGATCTTTTTTCAAATTTTGGTTTCGTTGGTCCATATACCTTTAATGGGTCTGTTGCGCGGGTAGATCGACTGGACATGCACACCAGGGAAGCTCTTTTGTTTCGTTTTTTTTTTCCATATAATTTATGTTGCTTGGTCTCCTTGTGTTGAACATTATTATTTCTCGATTGTTTCGTTATTTTCTTTGGGTTTTTTTCCAGTTTGGTTTTTTTACAATTGATTGTTGTATGTTAGTGGTGTGTTTTGCTGTGTATGGTAATTAAATATTTATTTTTTGCTTTAAGTGGGATTGTGGGAAGATAGGTAAATGATGAAGAAAATTAAGTTATGTTCTTCTGTTTATGCGTTCAATGTATAAGGTAATTGAAATTGATTCAAATCATTACAAAGTATCTTGTGGATGTAAGTACAGATATTGAACTGCAGCTTTTTAGTAGATTTTTTACTGTTTTGTGTTTACTCTAGGCAATTTAATATTTTTTTAAAGACTTTTCATTTGATTTGGCTCCACTAACAATATAATATTATGTATTAAGTGACATGGATCTGACATTATATATATAATCATCACCATTTAGTTTTACAAGGAAAAAAAATAACTTTGTTCTTCAGAAGAGGTACCTTCAAGGAGCTTCTCCTGCAACTATTCCAAACATTTCTTCCAAATATAAAATGACTTGCAGATGATAATAGATTGCTTATTTATTTGTTTATATGGAGTGCTTGCTACCTATTGAGATCCCATTGATGTTTTCTGTATTCTTGAAAAACATAGCAAAACGTATTGTTTTGTTTCATAGAAAGATGATTTGTATAGAGCCTTTATCAACATGCAAGATTGTTTAACAAGAAGATGAATAATATATGCCTTTTATCAACATAAAAATATTAAAGTATCTATTTTGTTTGAATGATGTAGAATGAAGAAAAATTACTCACGTTATATTTTTCCTTATGTCTGGATGTTGTTT